CATGATATAAGGCGAATCAGGCGGTGCCTTGAACTGGGCGATATCCGGGCTGAGATGGGAAAGTTACGGTATCCCAGAGCGAGAGTTATTTGGCTCAGTTGTGACGACAAGGAAGTTTATAGGAAACGAGTAGCTGAGAGAGTAGATAGTATGGTCGCTGATGGTCTCGAGGAGGAGCTCAGCGGCCTTGTTGTGCCGGGTGTAAAATGCGGGGCCCTCGGATGGAACCGGGGACCTCTCCAGGGTATCGGCTACAAGGAGTTCCGCGAGTGGGTCGAAAGCCCTTCGGCCGACTGTTGGAGCCGATGTGTTGATCGAGTGAAGACGGGGACTGTGAAATATAGCAGGCAGCAAGTGAAGTGGATACGCAATAAAATTGAGTCTTTTGTCGAAGTGCACAAGGTCGACACCAGTGACTTCGAGACTGCCACAGAGTCGTACTGGGCGGGAATCCTTCGTAGTGCGGTAGAGTTCGTGAGAAGAGATCCCAAAGCTGTGAGTGAGAGCCCTAAGGAGGAATGGAAGAAGTACACTTGTGAGGTCTGCGGTAAAGACGGCATTAATGGTCCGAACGAATGGCAGCAACATTTGGGCAGTAAAATGCATAAAAGCCGAAAACGTAAAGCGAAGCAAGCATCTTCACGAGGAGAGCTGAAGGATCCAGCAAGTTGACGGAGTGTCATGTGTCTTGGTGTTCAGTTGTTAATTGTGTTCATATATCGTGTTGTATCATGTTCAAATATCTCAGTAACAGCGGGCAGCGACTTCGTAAATCGTACGCCTTGACATTGGGGGGTGAGCTTTCGTGGTTCTCTGTCGTTTAGGGCGATCACGCCCCTCAGTCTGCGGAGCGCGTTTGCCTGCGTCGCTTCCCCACTGTTTAAAGCACGAGTATGCGAGATCGTAGTCAGATTATATCGCAGTTCACTCTTTGCCGGTTCAAATCCCCCGCGCATAATCGTTCAATTTCTTAATCGTTTTCGGAATTTTTCGCACAGTCTCAAAACGTTGATGAGCCACAGGTAGATTTGCGACCTTCGTTGAGCAACCATGTCGAATCTGAAGGCGGTGAAGACTCGTATGAAGTCCGTGACTTCTATCCAGAAGATCACTAAAGCTATGAAAGTAAACGGCGGGAATATACTCACGCTATCCCTCCCGAAAGAATTACTCTGTTCTCGTGAATATTCTCCGCTGATTTCCTATTGCCCGTCCATCGCTGATCGAATATCGAGTGAATTGATTCCGTGTAGATTGTGATGCTTTTATGTAGTCACTAGTGAGTGCCTCGGTTTAGTTTTTACGTAGGCGTCGTTGAGAAATTGTTTCGTCAGAAGAGGAAGTGTTAATGGATCATTTTGGTCAGATGGTTGCCGCGTCAAAACTACGTAGTGATGAAGACCGTGTGGTGAATGGCGCTCCCTTTACTCAGCCAGTTATAGACTTCTTTAAGAGGCTCCCTGTCGACGAGGGCATCCCTAAGGGCAAGCATGATCTCGTTTTCATCATCCGCGATATCGGTGTCCCTCAGGCCCTGCCACCATCATGGGATTAACGTCCGATAAGGGTCTATGTGGGGGTGTGAATTCTTCCATCACGAAACGAGCCCGAGCTATGGTAAGCGGTACTTGTGAGGAACGTCGTTGTGGAGTGAAGCACTCAGATAATGGAGGTAGAGGCTAGCGGTGGTACAGCTAAGTACGTAGGCGTTGGTGGAAAGGGCACTGCGGCGTTAAGGAGGCTATTCGCCGACCGGTTTGAAGTCTGCATGGAAGATGTATAATGCTCGAATAACTTGCTCGAGATCAGCTTGGGAGTAGGTTCAAAAACATCCTTGGAATTTCGCCCAAGCCAGCGCGATAGCAGAACGCGTGATTCGCAGCGAGCCTGAGCGTCTGACCATCTTGTCGAATCATTTCAAATCGGTGATCTCCTTCGATACACTGGAGAGCCGGGTGGTCACACTTAAGGAGTGTCGAGAGATGAACAGGGTAGTAGTGGTGGCTGTAGGACTCTTGTAATGTGTAGTTTTTGGTATTAGTATTAGAGCGACAATTGTATAGTAGTAGTAGTAGTAGTAGTAGTAGTAGTAGTAGTAGTAGTAGTAGTAGTAGTAGTAGTAGTAGTAGTAGTAGTAGTCTCTTTGGTTAAAAAAGTACATATAGGCGTAGAAGTAGTATCATTAATACAACCAGTGTTAACGGTACTAGCAGTAGGAGTGAAAATAACGGTGATTTCGATAGGAGTATTTGTGCAATTGATCAGAGCGAGTGGTCGAAGGCCGTAGACCAGTACTCTTTCGAACCCTCGGTTTTCGAAGTCCTCCATGACCTTCATGATTTCTATGTCGCCAATTGTGTCTTCGGCTACATGCTCGACTCGATAGCTGCCGAACAGAGTGCACGTGAGTTCCCCCGTCCATTCCTCGATCATCAACACAATCGTCTTAGGTATGTCTGCTATGGAGAATGCATCGAGAAACGCCGCGGATATGATCGACAAATTGGAGTTGCAGTAAGTGTTGATTCTCCCGAGTTGTTATGGCTGTGCTCAGGTTCAACAAGGCTCGGCAGTCGAAGATCACTACGGAGCTGTGTGAGATTATATCTGGTGCTAGCAGTCTGTAGTCGATCCTGCCACGTGTGTGATTATGACTGTTTCCTCTGCTATTAGAGTCTCTCTAGACGGTTGCTGGTTTTTCTCAACATTATGATACTCGACTTTTGTTGTTAATGTAATTGCCCCCGGGGTTAAATTTTCACGCAGGCCTCTTACAAATGTTTACCCGACACGTTTGCTTGATCGCGGCAACTCTGCTACTGGCACTCAGGTGAGTCTTGAACATATCCGTCTTCAGTAGTGGACATTTTTCTGTCAGTCTTGAGGGTTGTGGGGGATGCGGAGGTTGCTGCTGTAGTGGCATGTGCGGCTGCGAAGAGCCCAAGCTTAGCCAACCTGAGAAGACTTCGGAACTGAGGGACAGAGTTCTCAGACATCAGCAGAAAATGGAGATACTCAAGCGCGAGGTGGAGGCGATCGATTGTGACTGTGATGATAAGAAGACTGGTAATGGGTATGTTAAGCAGTGTGGGGAAATATGCACATGGTCAACCGCATATGTTGGTGAAAATATAAAAATTATGGGGAAACTCTTTGTAGTTTTTGTATTTGTACATTTCTACCCTGAGTCGTATATGTGTAATTAGTACATGGTTACTACATGCCTATAGTAAGCTACATGTGTTGGCAGCAATATGAAAATTGGGTGGAAATTCCGAAAAATTATTGTTGGTCCTACCCGAGTTCGCAGGAATAACAAGAATTTTCCTGAGTATTTTGATATTGTCACCGACACATAGTTGACCATGTGCATATTTCCCACCCTGGGTATAGTATTATGTAAATGATCTTGTTCATTGAGATTGATGATGATACTCGGATATTCAGGTGAAGCGGAGATGCCCAAGACTACGGAAAAGACGACCGCATCGCCGCCCACGCCGAAGAAGCAGAACCACAACGGTCGTGTGCGTATCTCAGACAGTGTGAAGTTGGAACCACCATCTGAATCAATCGCGATATAGCGAGGTAAGGTTCTTCATGTGTTGACAGTTTAAGGACGCATACAGGCTAGCGAACATCGTTTGAGTTACTAATGATCCGATGGAATACGTAGGGATGTGCGTCTCGGCCTTATCAACTCGGTCATTTGAAGCGGAATGGGACGAGCATCTTATGGAGTGATGCTCGCTGGATTGTCGTTTTCCGTTTTGATTCAGGACGATTATGATGTTGATATTATCCATCGTCGAGAGAGTCGATGATCAGTAGTGAAAAGTCGTGCATGTTATGGTTAATACCTGTGTTCACGGTCTAGCAGTGTTGTGTTCGCCGCAGTAGGACTCACGAACTCAGGACTCTCATACGGTGTGGAGTTGGTGAAATAGTATCGAACGGTTGTGGGAGGAATGGGAGATAAAATAGACATTTCTGGAAGACTTATCCCTGACGATGTACGAGGCAACATATTCTACATGTGAAAATATTGGAACATGCCCTGTGTGGGAACTTGATGATGTGTTCCAATTAGAACTCCTGTTAACCTGGAACTGTGGAATTATACAGTTTAAACCCACTGCGGTGTGACTTGGGTCAAGGTTGAGTCTTCCCAGTGCTAACTCAAGAGTGTCGTCGTTGTCTACGGAGTTAACGATTGGGAAATGATAGTGATACTAACTATAATAGAGCTACTACCTCACATCATAAACCGACCGATAATATCATGTTTGTGGATGTTTGGAGACTATCCGCAATGGAGGGGCCCTTCCGAGGGCTTGATGCAGTAAACCCAAACCGCACCACAATTTCAGCAAACATCGCGATTTTTGCCGAATTGTGTTACACCGGTCTGGCCGTTCCTTGAGTGTTTCATCGAAGTAAGCTGTTGTTGTACACCCCAAGAACCTCCATCTCAGACTAATTCGTTGGACGGGATCGGCCGCTGTCACGAGGGCGTGCCCGCCAACTCACTCTTTGATTCTCGAGCACGCCGTGTTGTGGGTCAACTTCTGGTCACGGATCAGTTCGAGAGCCTCATAAGCGTCGTTCCAAGACAATGAGAGTGGTGTTGGAGAATATGATTGCTTTCCTCAACTGAGGTCTGGAATTTCCTCACTTGTACATCGACCACCTAAAGTATCAATTTCACCGTAATGGTGCTCGCACGTTCCTACTGTCTCTCATCTCGCCCTTGAGACGGTGCCGTAATCCCCGTCTTCTTCCCAACGGATATGTCTCTTACTGCTGACCGTCTCAGATCAGTCCCCCGGCTGCATCGACCATCGCGTTCCTAAGTCCTCGCCTGCATCGACCATCGCGTTCCTAAGTCCTCGCACGATCGGCGAACCGTGATTCACGACGTGAATTTCACGTCATCGAATGAATCCGTGATTGCGCGGCAGTGAACGCGTGCACGGATGATCCGTAATGGATGCTAGCAAGTTGCTAGTGGCGATACTCGAGGCTCCCTCTATGTGATGCAGTCTCAAGAGCATCGTTTGTTCTGAATGTCACGAACATGGTGCGAAACCTCTAAACGGTTGACGAACAGCCGATAGAAACGGCGAGGAAAGCGGTTGCACGCATTTGCTGCTGAAGTGCTAGCGCCGTCACTGTGCGGCGTCAATTAACAGAAACTTTGGGAGTGGGAAGGCTCATTGGAGCTACAGTGGTCGGACTGGGTGTACACTCCACACGCGACTTACGAGGTGCGACCTGCTGGATCGTCATTCTACTTGCCTTAGTCTACTGCACTCCGTCTCCTATGTCAAAAACAGAACAGCCTGCCGAGGACACACCCAAACAGCCTTCTGAAGGGACCCCCACAGAGACCGCTGTGAAAGAGTAGGTCTCTGGTTTTGATATGGTTTCCACTATGGAGTCATTCTCTACTACGCTCGCGGAACTCGTATATTTCAGGTCACTCACTACCTTCATGGAGCCAGCTGCAGTGGCGGTCCTAGCTGCCTGGTTCGCTGCTATCTCTGGCATCAACCCTACCATGTAAGGTTTGTGACAGTAGGTTTTCACACTCTGCCTTGAGCATGGAATATAACTATCGATCACGCTCATGTGTTCACTATCTCATCCTAATAGCGAGTTGAGGGCTGATCGCATTGTGATCGGTTGAATCCTAATGATGGAAGACGTTTCTCCTACAGGGACTTCTCCCAAGGCGCCGACAACCTCACCGCTGCTTTGGGAGGTGGGTTACCCCGGCCTATTTGTGCAGGCATACACTGGGTAAGCCTTATAGCTCATATATTGTCCAACTGTTGCGGTTTCCTGTACTCAGATCTTATGCATGGTGGCTTCATTTGGCGTCTTATGTTTGCTATCTTCTGTGGTCCCCGAAGTGGGGAATAGGAAACTGATGGGTATGGGAGCGGCCCTGATGACGGCAGCGGTGGTTTATAACACCATTGTGACGACTCTCGCATCGGGTAGGGTCTCAACCAAGGGCCTTTCATCGAGTATCTACGCCAAGTCGTTCAGTAGCGCTCGCCAAATGCCTATTTTTATGTGGTCTCTGTCTACGCCCTCGTGCTTTGAACTGGCTCGTGAGTTATTGTGTCTGTTGCAGGGTTTGCCGTTCTACAGCTGCTGCAGAGCGTATTGTTCGTCTTGGCTATGAATCGCCTGCCCCAGATCGCTGTAGTGGATGAGGGCGACTCCCTTTTCATCAACTGGGTAAGGTGGTGTACCTCGTCGTCGAGTTTTCACCCAAAGACGGTGTTCTTTTCAGTTGATCACCACACGCCCTTGGTCGTTTTCCGCCATATTGTTGCCCGTCGCAGTCACTGCGGCATCTCTGGTCTGGTGGGGAATTGAGATAAAGTCTGCTGGGCTAGCCACTGAAGTTGTGAGTTTAGTTCCCTTCATCGAGCGAGCCAGGATCTGCATCATCTCTCAGATAATGTCGATGATTCTGATGCAAGTCGCAGCGAATCAAATGAATTCGCTTGCTGATTATCGCAACGGTGTTGACAGGGCCGACTTGCCCACCTCCGATACGACCGTTCTAAGTGGTCTCCTGTCGGTCAGAGCTCTGGTAGGCTATTGACGAATCGCTCCTTGCTTAGTGGTCTCCCCCTTCTGCAGACCGTCTCGTCCGTAGCCTCCCTGGTTGCATCCTTGCTCATAGTTGCGCACAGCATCCGCGATATGGAGGACGTGTACTTCAATATCGATAAGTGGATGATGATTGTGGGTGTCATAGTAGCTGTAAGTGGAAAGCTCATACGGTTTTGGTACCCAAATTTTCCTGTTAGGTAACCTACACGGTTTCTCCTTTTCCTCTCAAGTATATTGGATTAGGCGATGCTGCTGTGTGAGTCGTCGTTGAGTGATCGTATTTGAATTCTCCATGCTGTGCTCTAGGTTCATCTTTTTCGGCCCTATCAATGTGGTCCACTTCACACTTGCCGTCACTGCCGCCGAACAGTCCTATTCGAGGCTTGGAGATTTGCTCCTCTTCACCCTCCCTGTTAGCATCATGGTTACAGTGGTAACGTACCGTCAACACGTTTTGGACATTCAGTTCTCACCTTGTAGATTCTGAGCGCCAATAATATCAGAGATATAGATGGAGACTGGGAAGCGGGTTGCTACACATTGGAGGGGATGCTAGGGAGAACTGCCAGCCGAGTGTAAGCTAGGTCCATCCAATTATCATTGTTACACTCAGGGTCGATTTTGCGATCGACGATTCGCCACAGTGTTGTGTAGTGTGGATACTGCATGTGCCTCAGGTACTTCGCTGGCCTTGTTATGACGGCGCAAGCCATATCTGCCTGGCTTGCTTTCCAGTATCAATGCTATGGATTATTACTAACACTTTTAGTCTTGCCGAGGTCCATTTGGCTGATGTAGAAGATGACCCCCCCCCCCCCCCCACTCATATTTGAGTATCCCTTTTCAGCAAACGCGTCTGCCTCTCCCCCGAGGATGCTGAATACTATAAGTTCGTCGATCAGTCCTCTGCTCATACTCTCCTCATTCTTGGCCTCACAACAGCGCTAGGGATATCTAGTGTATCCCCAGCGGCTCAGGTAACTTTCCACTTAATCAGTCCGAGATCCGTTTCGTATCCCTAAACTCATTCAAGTGCCCTCAGGTCAGCATTCCGGGTCTTCTATTCAGCTGCGTGCTGATTGGCCTACTCCATGCTGTCGGTTAACCTTCTCGTCGATTATGCTGAATTGCAGTTATTTATCTTAT